CTGTCTTGTGGGAACTCGTGGGTCTTCATTTATCAGCTGCATGGAGGCAGAAGAAGTGAACTTTAGAACTCCTTCCAAGTTCATGGAAGCTCCCAGGAGTCCCTGGTTACAAATGGGAAACAGCCACGCTAGAAAATGGATTTTTAAAAAAGGCAAACACTCTAGGAGTCATGAAAAGTTTCCATTTCTAAGCTCTGTCATAAAGTAACTCCCCCCCGCCCCCAGAACATATATGAACTACCCATACTGTCATCAGATGTAGTAAGGTTAAGTTAGATGTTCACATTCTGTCATGCTTAGAAAAGTCAGTTCTTTTACTAAATGCTTTGCAAACAAAAGGCTATTTCCTGTGCCAGAGAGTACGTGATGGAAAGATGCCCTTTAGGATTTTAAGACTTAATTATTTAATTAAGAAGACCGACATAGCCTATACAAGCTGGAGTTACTAGATTCAGACTTTATAGATTTCCTGGTAATATTTTTAATCTTTGTGTTTGTTTAGCTCATTTCAGATTTTCTTTCCTTTTCCTCTGTGCTCAGAGTACCTATAACCAGTGGCAACTTACTGAGAAAATAATTCTGAACATCAAACTATGCAGTATCTTTGGTTAAGCATGAACCTTATAGATTTTAGTTCTCTTTCCTTTCTGAAAATATTTTTAGTGGTGTGTTGCCGTTAACAGAGAAATGCCCCACTGTCCTTGGCTTATATGCCTCCAACCCCACTCCATCCCTCATCACCTTCTTCTCCCTCCCCCTCCCAAACCTGCCTCTATCATCTTTCTGTGGTGCTGAATGTATATAGCTTCTGAAACACTTTGGAATGGAAGGTGCTATGAAATTGTAAAGTGTTTTTATCACAAAGTTCTGCCATTATGTCTCGATCCTGACGTGCAACACCTCTGCTATTTCAGTGTTGTGACGGGACACAGCCGGCCCTGAGAGGGCACCGCACTCAGACAAGCATGTGAGATTGCGTCTGTCCCTGTGGGTGAGCCCAATGCTTTAGAGCAGTGGTTCTCAACATGTGGGTCGCGACCCCTTTGAGGGTCAAATGACCCTTTCACAGGGGTCGCCTAAGACCATCGGAAAACACATATACAATTATTAAAGGGTTGCTGCATTAGGAAGGTTGAGAACCACTGCTTTAGAGCATCGACTGCATTAGATAGTTGTGGGCAATGCATGGAAAGGTTAGTTAGTGCCTTGCTACTTAAAGCATGGGCTGTGGCTGTGGAAAGGAAATGTTTAGATATATAGGACCTCAGGACCTGCCCCAGGCCTTTTGAACCACAATCCACATTTTAACAAGCTCAATTATTTGCATACATGTCATCGGTGTAGTGGATACCTGCTATTTTGTCTGCTCTGTATTCCTTAATCTACTAACAATGCTTCCCACCCTATCTTAAAATAACCATCCCTTTCTGCCTTTACTTGTGTTTTGGTGGGGCTGCTATTGCAGAGACCTGGCTTTTTGGCTATAGAGATGAACAGTTAATTCAGGTCTGGACATTCAAGCCAGCAAGATAGGTCAGGGGGGGCCACATGGGATATACCTGGGTCTTCCCCTGTGTTTCTTTACTCTGAAGTTGGAAGGAGAAGCCATTTTTGCCTCTGAAGTCATAAACCTGGAAAGAGGTAAACTTGCAATCGTCAATGGCTATTTTCCCACTGAGTGGAGAATACCTGCACAACATGAGTAGGAAAGGCATTAGTGCTCAAAGAAAAGTAAAGGCAAGAGAGAGATCCAGTGCCTGATCCTGCATGTGGTTTTGGTGATATGAGCTCATAAAATGTCCTTTTTGCTTTTCTAGGTTTGAGTTAAGTGCCTCCCGACCCTCATCAAGGAGGAGACCTGGACAGGCTCTTTCGGTGCCTGAGCCTGACAAGCAGCTGGCAGGTGGAAGCAGGCAGAGGTGGACTTCGGAGTGCCTCGGGACTTTCCTACCTCTCTCCAGGTCTGGTGTGGGTAAAAGCCAGCCTTAATGGGAAGCTTGGTTTTTCCTGTGCACACCATGGCTCAGGAGAGGCAGCCACAAAAAGTGTTTGTAGCTCCAAACATGTTGCCCAGGGCCAGTCACAAGCAGTGACTGGCATTGCCTGCACCATCAGAGAAGGATTCAATTAGCTTCACAAGTGGCATTCACAAGATCCAAAGGGAGATCTTGGCAGGCACCAAACCCTGCTGAGGTGAATTTGGCTTTGTATGGTCAGCACCTGCACAAGAGCTTATACTAGTACACTGTGGTAGGGGTTGATCCTCACAGTCAGCCAGCCTGAGAGTTGACACCACATATGGACAGGCCAATAGCAACCAATACTCAATTGCAACAGGAAGGTCTACATAACCCACACAAGATGCTATTCCTGGAGCACCCATTTCAGGTGATCAAGGAGACCATGTCACTAGACCCTCACTAGACTATATAAGGTCACCCCATGAAGACTTGGAGTCATAGAAGATCTATTTAATACATAGAAACAAACACAAATAGGCAGCCAAAGTGGGGAGACAAAGAAACATGCCCCAAATAAAAGAATAAGAGATATCTCCAGACAAAGAGCTAAATGAAATGGATGCAAGCAATTAATCAGATATAGAGTTCAAAGAAATGGTTTAAGGATACTCAAGGAACCTAATGAGAACTATATGGAACTTAATTAGAATTAAAGCAGCATGAAAAAGGACATAGCAACCTTATAAAATGACCAGTCAGAAATGAAGAGTATAATTGAAAGGGCGAGGGCTACGCCCTCCATCTTGCCCCAGGGCGAGGGCTATGCCCTCCATCTTACCCCGGATCCTCCATTTTTAGGCAGCAGCCATTAGCCATGTGCTCAGCAAGGAGCTTTTTCCAGGAAGCCCAAGCCTCTGCTAGCCACACTTAGGATTTCTTTAAACTAACCAATGATAATCAAGGGAAGTGCGTGCCATAGATACGACCACATCCTGTGTAACAAGACACCGAATTGAGCCTGGCCAATCAGCAGGGCCCACAGTCCTCTCTCCTCCCCTTACTCCAACCCCCCTATAAAACCCCTCTCCACACAGAGCTCGCTCTCTTTCTCTGCCTCCTGCCACTGCATCAGCGAGTGTGGTGGGTGGGGAGCTCAAGCTAGCTCGAATAAAGACTCTTTTGTTTTTGCATCAGACTTGGCTGGCTCTCTGGTGGTCCTTTGGGGATCCTGAAATCTGGGCATAACAATAATAACTGAAAAGAAGAATATGCTGGGAGGAATAAACAGTAGGTTGGATGAGGCAGTTGATCCAGTCAGTGATTTGGAAGGCAAAGTGTAAGAAACACCCAATCACAGCAGCAAAAACAAAACAAAACAAAATAGTATGAAGTATAACAACATACAAGTCACTGTTGAGTGTATTTCCCTCCACGTCCTGTGTGATTCAGCGTTCGGGTCTGGAAGAGGAGCCGTACACAAATGAAAGAGAAAAGACACGAGATAATTTGGAAATATTGGGGGACCAGGAAGGCAAGTCCAACTCAAGGAGGAGGACTTCCTCTGGTGCTCAGGCCGAACCAACCTTTTATTGATCTGGGATACACCCATAGCATAGCCCTTAGGCAGGCAAGTTCCAGTAACACACAGACTAGCCGACCCACAGGCAATTTCCAGTAATAGGAAGACTATCTTATCAATAAGGATTTACATGATTAAAGGTGGGGAGGTTGCTTCAGCTACCATTATCTAGATTAACTAGGTGGTGCACAGCTCCAACCTTTGTTAGGGCTTCAAAGGTCACCAGCGTTTAGGGGTCTCTACTCTTCTCTGCTAGTGAAGACGGTAGGTGGTCTCCGACAAGTCACAGGAGTACCAGGAGGAGGAAAGAGAGAGCAAGGGATTGAGAACCAATTTGAAGAAATAATGACTGAAGCCCTAGCCAGTTTGGCTCAGTGGATAGAGCATCGGCTTGTGGACCAAAGAGTCCCCGGTTCAATTCTGGTCAAGGGCACATACCTCGATGGTGGGCTCCTCCTGCACCTGGACCCTGGTTGGGGCTCATGCAGGAGGCAACCAATCAATGTGTTTCTCTCACATTGATATTACTCTCCATCTTTCTCTCTCTCTTCCACTTTCTCTAAAAATCAATGGAAAAATATCCTTGAGCGAGGATTAAATTATTTTTACAAAAAGGTTAAAAAGAATAAAAATAATGACTGTAAACTTTCCTAACCTGGTGAAGAAAATTGACACACAAGTCCAAGAAGTGCAGAAAGTCCCAAACAAGATGAACCCAAAGAGGCCCATACCAAGACACATTCTAATTAAAATGGCAAAAGTTAAAGACAAGAGAGAATCTTAAAAGCAGCAAGAGGAAGACAATTATTTACAATGGAGCTCCCATAAGATCAATGGCTGATTTCTCAACATAAGCATTCCAGGTCAGAAGATATTGGCACAAAATATTCAAAGTGATGTAAAGGCAGAATCTGCAACCAAGAACACTTTACTCAGCATTTCATTTTAAAATGGAAAGAATTGGGATCTGTCCCTGTTCATCAGTCTATGTTGTTCTCTGTATTCCACAAATGGTGAGATCATGTGGTATTTATCTTTCTATGACTGGCTAATTTCACTTAGCATAATACTCTCCATGCATGCTGTTGCAAATGGCAAGAGTTCCTTCTTTGTTACTGCAGCGTAGTATTCCATTGTGTAGAATGTACCACAGTTGTGTGTTTTCTTTACTGCATTTCTGTGAAATGCCCCACCCCCCACAGGCATATCCCTGAAGGCATCTCCCTACAGAAAGCAGATTAGTGACTGCCTGGGGCTAGGGCAGGAGGACAGGGAGGGGGCACTGGGAAAGGGAGGCGACTGTTAATGGGTATGGGTTTAAAGTCCTACAATTGGCTCCTCTCTGAGGGGGCGTGACTAGGCCCTGGGGGGCGTGGCTGGACTTTAGGGCGGACCCAGCCAGCTTAAAACCCTGCGGAGGGGTGGCAGCCCACTCTGTGGTGGCTGTTAAGTGTGGAGGCATGGAGCAGTGCTCTTGCCTCTGCCGCGTGGGCTCTTCGCGGGGATGTCGGTGTCCTCAGAAGCGCAAGCGCCCATCTGAGACAGCAGTGGCCAAGGGCAAGCGGTGTTGTCAGGAGTGCCAGGGCCCAGCTGAGAAGGCAGCAGCTGAAGGCAAGCCAGCCCTGGCAGAAAAGCACCTCGAGGCGGACGTGGCAGGGCGGTGCTGTGCGGGGAGTGGAGGAATCTCGAGCCCCATGTTGCCCCCACACTTCTCATTGCAGGACCTGCCTCCCGAGCTGCTAGTGGAGATCTTCGCCTCGCTCCCCGGCACCGACCTGCCCAGCCTGGCCCAGGCCTGCACCAAATTCCACCACATCCTGCACATTGACAGCATCTGGAGACGGCGCTGCCGGGAGGAGTTTGGCGTTCCTGAAAGCTTGCCGAACCAGGTGAGGAGGGGTATGTCTTATCGAGAAGTCTATACGAAGCTGTTCCACCCATACAGACACATTCTGGGATTGTGGCGGCTAGATCATAGCTATCGAACACTGCTGAA